CAGTAACCAATTCACTGTTTCAAGGTCTCTGACAATGGAAATTCTGTAATCTCTACCCTCATCAGCTCAAAACAAAAAAACATGTTACCAAAACATGTAGCTTAATAAATTATGGCATCTAGTAACTAATGATTTTATTTGTATTGCATGTTAATTGTGCAGTCATAACATTTTCTAATACTGAAATCTATTTTAGAAACAATAGTCAAGGATTTATTGAGAAAAATCTCTGGTTTTCACTTTTATTTTGCTGGAATTGTGATTTTAAAAAAAATTAAAGCAAATAAACCCTTAGTCATAGCAGCAGCCTGTAGCTGGCTAATGTAAGAATTATGAAAGTGAATGTTCAGCTATTGAAATTTTAATCACTTAAATCTTTTTGTGGTTCTTCTGTAAAATCTGTATCTGTAAATATTTCAAACAAAAAAACCTCTATTGCTGAAAGTTAGAAACAATAGATGCAGCTGCTTTACTGCTCAGGGGTTCCTTGCTATTCAGAACTAGCATTCTCGAAATCCCTTTGGTTTTATTTTGTTGTGAGGAAATGCAGTTTTTAAAATATATATTTATTTTAAAAATGTATTTTTCTTGTCTATGTGAACGCCCTTTGTCCGCTATGGGCTGCCATAGGGACCGCAGTGCGGACTGCACCACGCCCACGAGCCGGTATCTCTGGGCAGACAGACTCCAGCAGCACCAAGAGGGGAATAGAGAAAGCGAAGGAGGCATTGCTGCTGCTGCTGCAGAAGACCGGAACGACCTCTGCAGAAAAAATCACTAGCACAGCGCAGTAACAATGGCCGGGGGGGGGGGGGGGGGGGAGGAATCTGAGGAATGGGAAAAACTCGAGATCAGTTGGGGTGGGGCAAAGAGGTCTGTTGTCTCACTCGTTCACCCCCTTCCTTGTGTCTCGGGCAGTGTGGGTGCAGCAAAAGCCAACTGCAGATCTTTGTGTGGGGGGAGCCGATGCGATATAGAAGGAGCCTCCTTCATCTCTGCTGCTGTTGCTGCTTTGCACATTGGCCATGAACGTCTCACGACACTGCACCTCAACTACTAGATTAACAGCAGCGTGTGCACAAAGATCCCATTCCTGCCGTCTGTCCCCCGTCCTTTATGTCTAGACATTCTCGGTGAAGAAGTGACCCCTAGGAGTCTAGATCCGAGGCAGGCGAAGGAAAGGGGTAGAAGACCCGGCCCCGCCCCAGCAGGCAGGGATCTCAGGACGGCTTTCCTTCTGCAATGGCAAAAAAGGGCCCGGGGCACTGATGACACCAAAGGTGGGGTGCCCCTCCCGCGACGAGCAAAGGGCGGTTTCTCCCCCTCTGCGCCAAACCGAGAGCCCCCACGCCCCAGTCAGTAGGTACAGCTGCAGCCCAGCCCTCCCTCCCTCCCTCCCTCCCCCCAGCAGGCAGGGATCTCAGGACGGCTTTCCTTCTGCAATGGCAAAAAAGGGCCCGGGGCACTGATGACACCAAAGGTGGGGTGCCCCTCCCGCGACGAGCAAAGGGCGGTTTCTCCCCCTCTGCGCCAAACCGAGAGCCCCCACGCCCCAGTCAGTAGGTACAGCTGCAGCCCAGCCCTCCCTCCCTCCCTCCCTCCG